TCTGCATCCCCTGGAACAGAATCCATATGTCACACTTCTCAGCACGTGCTCCAACTCTGCCTTCAGTGCGATAAAAACCTTTTCTGTCATCATCTGTCATTAGACGAGGTTCTTCGCAAGATCCCCAAAAGTGACAAGATAATCCTGCTTGGGACTTTAATGCCCGAGTGGGACAGAACAGGGGGATATGGGAAGGAATGCTGGGCAATCATGGGATTGGGCAGGCTAATTCAAATGGTATGGGTTACTTGTCCTTTGTTCTGATCATGATCTGACCACAACTAACACCATTTTTCAGTAAAATAACATGTATAAAACATCATGGATGCACCCACGCTCCAAACATTGGCACTTGATAGATTACGTTATAATGAGACGCTATGATACCAGTGACTTAATCCTAACTCGTGCCATGAGAGAAGCTGAGTGTTGGACAGACCATCATATGATAATGTCCAAATTCCACTTGAAAGTGCACCCCCTCTTGCGGAAAATTGCACCCAACAGGAGGCAGCTTGATTGTATGCTCTTGGAAAGAGATGAGTACCGCTTCTCCCTGGCTGGAAAATTAGAACTCTTCCTCAGTGGTGTCCACTCTAAGGATGAGCAATGGACAGCCATCAGCTCAGCAATCCATGCAGCAGCCCAGAAAATTGTCTTTAAGAGCAAAAAACATCAAGACAGGTTTGATTACAACTCAGACACTATACACAAACTTCTGAATAACATGCATAAAGCACATCACGTAGTCTTAAAAATTCCTTCATCTAAAAATGCCAGAAAATTGTGGCAGGAAGCTGGACAGGATGTGCAGCGTGCTATGCAAACCATGCAAAAAGGAATGGTGGACAGCAATGGCGCAGGAAATCCAGTCTTTTGCAGATAGAAATGACATGCAAAGTTTTTATAATGCAGTCAAAGCCATCTATAGTCCAACTACTCCTGTGTCACTCCTTTGAGAACAGCAGACGGTCAAACATTTTTGAAAGATAAGAACGATATCCTTGAAAGGTGGGCTCAGCACTTTTGCACCCTACTAAACCAGAGTGCTGATGTAGACTGCACTGTTCTGACTGAAATGCCTGAGCATCCACAAATCAACAAGTTCAACCAGCCTCTAACATTTTGGGAAGTGCAAACAGCTGTCCACAAGTCCCCCGGCCAGTAGCGGTTTTAGGCACGGGCAGACAGGGCAGCTGCCCGGGGCGACATTTTTTCATGACACAAAAGGGGCGCACAAGCGCTGAGTAAAAAACAAAAAAGAAAGAAATCTGCACCGCACCGAGGTTTTCTATTCTATCTGTCATATCACAGAGTCTGGATTGGAAACAGCAAGTTAGCGCCCTCTGCAGCTGCAGGCGCTCCTGCTGACTGAGAGGGTTCAGGTGCTCCGTGCGTGTATGAAGAAGAGGAAGGGGTGCGGCGGGGGAATTCACCTCTGGGTCTTTCCCAAATGAGGGGCTGAATCAACTGTATTGACATGGCTAAAGCCAATCACATCTTGATGTTGTTCCATTTAACGCACATTTAATTCATAATATCATAAACACAGGCCTATCATTCTTTCAGGTTATTCTGAATTGTGTGAAATGGCCGAATAAAAAAAGGAAAAACAAAACGATTTTGTGCCCCCCCCCCCCCCCCCCCCCCCATCAAGGTCAAATTGTTTAGTCCTGACTAAAGGAAACTTATTGAGTCAAGAGCCAAACAGAGGAGATGAACATAAAAAGGCTAAAACCACCAGGTGCCCGATTCAGGAAAAAAAAAAAAGAAAAAAAAGAGGAGAAAGATAAAGGTATGTAGCTCTCATGATGCATGTTTTCAATTTTTTGAACCAGTTAACTGGGATTTTAACGGTTAAATTCGGTCAACTAGTTGCTAACAGAGCTAATAGGGCTGAATATTGAAACGAATATTCAAATGATTCAAAAAAATCCCTTGAATCGTTTTTTACTGATTCAAACTAGGATTTGTTAAATGCTCGCTGCAGCCTGTGGCCTGCCTGAACAACAACAAACACATGTTGATCATGTTCACATAATAATAAATAAAACAACTCTACAAACAGAAGAAAACTCCCCAGTCACCACTAACTATCCTGTTTATTTATTGCAGATGGCTGCACTGATTATTTTTTACATGACTTGTTCTGTAAAAGTTGGCTCAAAGGGGGCCTCGCCCGGGGAGTAATTCCATGTAGAACCGCCACTGCCCCCGGCTCTGATTTAGTCCCTGCAGAACTGCTAAAGCAAGGGGGCTATCTCTGTACACGAGCACTCCATAGATACATCGTCGAGATATGGGCAGATGAGAACATTCCACAACAGTGGAGGGATGCCGGTACTGTCACCGTCTATAAGAAAAAGAGGGACAAGGCTTCCTGTGGACATTACAGGGACGTATCACTACTTGCAGCTGGCAAGGTTTTGGTCAAGGTGATGCTTCAGAGGTTGGTCAATAACATCAGAGTCAATACTACCTGAGTCACAGAGTGGGTTTCTAATCAAATCAGGCAGTGGCGTGTAGATAAAGCTTATAGAAGAATCCTGAACCACTGCATGGCTTTGTTGTTGTTTCGGGGCGAGCGTTGTGGAAAGACATTTAATTAGAGCAATAGAATATGAAACACGGAGATTACGGTCACCAAGTTGTAGACATCCTGATGATGTCTGTGTAATACTGACCGCTCCCACTGCCACTGCTGCATTCTGTTTGGGTGCAACAACAATCCACGCTACCTGTTCTATCGGAAAAGATGTACGTTTACCATGAAATATCAATGGTAGATCACAATCCTATGTTCACGATAGATTGCGTCACATGAAGCAAACAAGGAACTCTTCGCTTTTTGGAAAAGTCAGTCTAGTGACCATTGGAGATCTTTTCCAGCTACCTCCTGTTAAAGGGAAAACACTTTATTCTCGTGGTGTAGCTAGCATCGTATGGCCAGGTCTATTTAAAGTTGTACACAGAAAGATGCAGCGTTTTCTGGACTGTTAAATATTCAACAGAAGTCCCGCAGCATTCTCCCAACCGCTTCTAGGCTGAGTTGGGGTGAGGTGCAGAAGAGGTTAGCAGTGTCCGTGGTTGCAAGAAATGACATGTCCATTTATGTTTGGAGTTATGAACGTGTTCTAATTTCACCACAGTGCCAACTACCTACCTTTAACACCGTAATAACTCCTACAGACAAGGTCACAACTGCACCAAACTTGCTTCATGTCATCACACAAAACCACCCAACACATTTCTGTTGTCACTGCGTGATGTCACGCTAGCTCTGCCTCCTCACAGGTCCTTGGCCCTGAATAACACATGCACAATGCCATTCACACCAAACTGCAAACATTAGATTTTTGTTAACCTTCATACGTTTTTTTTTATTACAATTTGGGACAGCGCCCCTTAGATACAATAACACTTTAATAACTTCTATACAAAAGCTCCAAACTGTACCAAACGTGATGGGAGTCATCACAGAACTGCGCTCAACACATTTATGTGCTCATTAGTTCAAATCACTTTACCTCCACCCCCTTACAACCCTTGGCTCTGGCTAACACACACGGTGCCTAGCCTGACCAGCCAGCCCCATGCTTCCTAATGGGAAGCTGGCTAGTCCCGCCCCTCATGTGCCTTTCTGCCTGTGACTTACCAGACTAGTTCTCTGTGTAGAATTAAACAGAGGATGAGTCTGGCAGGCCAGGCTACATAAGGCCCCCTAGATAAGTTCAACCCTTAATTACTTCAATTCAGTTGATTCATAAAGCGCCAAATCACCGCAAGAGTCGTCCCAAGGCCCTTAACAAAGTAAACATTCCAATTAAGGTCATTTCATTAAGCCAATATATTTCCTATATAAGGAACCCAGCAGGTTGCATCAAGTCACTGACTAGTGTCAGTCTTTACAGCAATCCTCATACTAAGCAAGCATGCAGTGACAGTGGAGAGGAAAACTCCCTTTTAACAGGAAGAACCCTCCAGAGGATCCTGGCTCAGTATAAGCAGCATGGACGTCGTTTTGGGGAACAGGGGATATATGCCACACACACACACACACACACACACACACACACACACACACACACACACACACACACACACACACACACACACATACACACACACACACACACACACACACACACACACACACACACACACACACACACACACACACACACACACACACACACACACACACTTTTTCCAAGGTCGATTTTTGTCCCCTGCACTTTTTACTGTCCAAACGCAACAGTACGCTATCTTAAATAGACACTGGTTGAGCACCAGGACCAAGCGGGAAACAACCACACATTACATACAGTATTTTTGTATTCCTACTGTAAAGATCCCTGTCTGACTAAAGCGCCGTCTTTCAGCCACTCCCCCTACTGCGTCCGTCTGCTCTCGTCTGTTTTCCAGGCGAGGCGCTGCTCAACTCAAACACGGCTGTAGTCACGGTCTGTCCTGTCTCCCCATTCTGTTCAGTCCTGTGTCCATGTTAATGGCTCCCACCTGCCTCTCGTCTCCCAATCAGTCAAGGTCCCACCTCCTCATGTACTTAAACCCTCTCAGTCCTGTGTGTTGTCTGTTCATTGTCTCCTTGTCAATGTGCTCTTCATTAAAACTCCTAAACATCCTCACCAGCCTGCCTGTCTCATTCACCTGCGTTTGGTCAGTATCCTCCATCTTCTAAAAACAAGGTCTGAATTGCACCAAACTCCGTTTGTGTCATCCCAGCACTGCGCCAAACAGTGGATGATGGTTCAAATCTATTTGGCTCCAAATGACATTTTATCTCTGCTCCTTAGAGAAAATAACAAACACCCACCTGCATTACCTGGATGACATCATCGCCATGATGATGGTGATGAAACAGAAGAAATTGTTTGATGTGCGAGGGGTTTGTCGAAAGAGCTTCATGAACATGTTTGGTGCGGACCACAGAACTATGACAGCGTCAGAAACAAAACATCTTGTCTTTGTTTTTTTCACAGCTGGTGTGTCACTCAGGAGTCCAAAAGGTGGACTTCTCTGCTGCCCTTCATGAGCTCAATCAGAACAAAAACAGGGACAGCTCTGTGATTCCGGGTGAGTCGGCCATGTTTAGGTGACATCATCAGACTGAAAGGGAGCAATCCGACTCACAATTGTTGTACTCCGATGAATATCCTGAAATCATCAATGTAAGATTGTATTATATTGATTTACATAAATGATTTATTTGTTTTCTCTAGTTGAGAGGACACGTGTGCGTCTGTCTACAGCAGGTGGAGAAGGGTCAGACTACATCAACGCGTCGCACATCGCAGTAAGAGCACCAACACTCGGCTCACACTTGGTCTGTTGGAGAGAAGTTTATTGGTGTTCTTCTAACACCTTTATCTTTCTTATTAAACCACGTTCATCATGTTGATGTAAATAAGGACCTTCAAAACCTCTGTTTCAGCTTCACTGAATTAAAAACGCTCCTCTGCCTTCTAACAAGGGTTGAAAGGAGGTTTTTATGTTTATTGATCAGTTTGTAAATCCATCAGTGTCCCACGGTGAAAAGCAGGAACCCTTTTCCCGCTTTAACTTTAGAATGTTTGTTTTCTAAATCGCTGTTTTCCTTTCCAGGGATACAGACAGAGGACCGAGTACATCATTACCCAGAATCCTTTGCCTGGGACCACAAAGGACTTCTGGAGGATGATGTGGGACAACAATGCTCAGCTCATTGTGTCACTGCCTGGGGTGAGTTCTATTACACGACTTGGCTGGTTGCTGTTGCTGACCAGTCTGCAGTGTTGAACATTTACCTGTGTCTCAGGCCCTGTCCACACGTAGCCGGGGATCTGCCAAAACGTAGATATTCTTCTACATTTTGGCCTGTCATCCACACGAAAACGGGAGTTTTTTCACACGAAAACGGATCTTTTTAAAAACTCCAGCCAAAGTGAAGATATGCGTTTTCTCCGTTTTGGGTGTCTGCGTGTGGACAGACAAAACTGGAGTTTTAAGGTCCGCAACGTCACTTTCCGCGACAAACAAATGCTGACATCACGTGTGCGACCTGTGTTTACACTAGCCGACAGCATGGATGCCCTCAGAGCTGCGCTCGCTTTATCAATTGTCCAAGCGCTTTTTGCTTGTTTGTTTTTGCAAGCAGAATTACTGCTCCTTGCGGAAGACTACAGACGAAGGACGAGGCTAAGAACGGGGGAAGTACTGCCGCCTACAGGTCTGGCATGTCCTTAACAACGTATTTATCCGGGTACGTGTGGACAGAGTTTTGTTTTAAAACGAGGTGGTGTGGATGCACGTTTTTGGAGGGGCGGATATAAGTTTTTTTTTTAAACCCGGCTACGTGTGGACTAGGCCTCAGTCATGCAGCGTATTCTTGTTTTTACATCACACCTCCTTCTGCTGGCAGAACTCATTAAGCTCTCGTTCATTCTAACCTTTCTGGTGTTTTCCTGTCGGCAGACGACGGAAGAAGCAGAACCGTGTGTCTTCTGGCCTCACAAAGAACAACCAATCACCTTTGAGATGTTCACTGTTACTCAGAGGAGTGAGACTCACCTGTGTCTGTCCAATGAGGACATGTTGGTGGTCCGAGAGTTCACGCTGGAGACTACACAGGTACCCCACTTTGGAGGGCTAACCCCTACTTCACTCTGGAAGCATCAGCATCGCAAAACAACGGTTTAATTGCGACTTTCGCCATGTGCCAGCACACACCGGGAGAATCGCAGCCACGGAGCAGCTTTTCTGCCTGCTCCTCGCTGGACTTGCAAGATCACAAAATCCCTCGAGACTTCAAAGGTCGCGGTTTGTTTATGCCATTCGCCATTAAATCAAAAAGAGGGAAATCACATTTGGTATCGCTGTTTGATGTCATAGATGATGTTGTTCCTCTCCACTGACAGGATTAAAGCCATGAAAATCACATACTGTAGCTGCACTTCTGAAATTATGCTGGGAGTAAATAAGCCATTAGATCACTTGTATTGATGTTATCTACAAAGATGTGAAATAGCATTGGTGCAATAGTGTTTTGTTTTGAAAACCACCAAGGTTTTTATCATTTCCTGTCGAGTCCAACGTTAGCTGCGGAAATTGTCGTGGCTAGTGGCAAAAAAAGAAGCCGATCCTATTTTTAGCAGCGTGGTGAGACTCTTCTGGGACGTGCCTGAAAATGTCCTCGTTGCAGCTGGTTTGAATCGCCCCATAGACAGTAATGGATTCTCTTTGAAGCAGCGACGTTCCGCTGCCGTTCTGTTCCGCTGATGCTTCCAGTGTGATGTAGGAGAACAGCAGCAATTAGTCTAATTTAATGTTTTACAATTCTCCATATTTAGCATTTTAATGCCTTCAAGTTGTCACGTTTGATGTTGGAACCGCTAGATTCCTTCATATGTGGAACACATTTGACAGTTTCAGGTTATACTTTAACATGTTTAACGTAATTGAAAGATTAATGAGAAGTGCACATCTCCTCCACCAGCAGCCCTTGTTTGACCCTCTGGAGGTTTCTTCCTGTTAAAAGGGAGTTTTCCTCTCCACTGTCGCTAAATGCTTGCTTAGTACCTGACACAAGTCAGTGACTCGATGCAACCTGCTGGGATTCCTTTATATAGGAAACTTTTTACTGATTGGCTTAATGAACTGACCTGTACTGGAATGTTTACTGTGTGAAGGTCCTTGAGATGACTCTTGTCGTGATTTGGAGATCGAGAAGCCAGAGCAGATAATCAATTCAATGATAATCCAGAAATATTCTGAAACCAGGGTCACCAGTGCTTGAGGAAATCAATCAACATTGAATGTAAAATCTGAATGTAGACATGTGTCTGCACATTGATAAATATCCCATTGTTAGAGGCAGTGAAGGGGCTCTGAGATTCAGCTTTTATTTTGGTAGGCTACTTCCTTCTTTATGTCAGTCTAAATCGGCATATTAGCTAAATATTTAGTTAAAATCTAAGATAGTATTCCAAAATGTAGATTTTCTTTAACTAATTTAGATTTGAACAATTACACTGTTGGGATGTTTAATAGTAAACATCATTGTTGGGCCGATTTACGGCTAATCTTTTACAACTCAGCTGCCCTTACACCAGGCAACAGCATCACATCGATTTACTTATAGTGCTTCAAACGTACTTGATTACCCTGCACACCACTGATATAAACACATGAAAGTATCATCTAAAACCTGCCATCAGCACAGATATTTACAATAGTCTGACCCCTTTTTTCTCTGGCTCTTTTCTTCTGGACAGGATGATTATGTTCTGGAAGTGAAACAATACCACGCCCCCTGCTGGCCAAACCCCGACAGCCCTATCAGCCAAACCTTTGAGCTCATCGGCCTGGTGAAGGAAGAGAGTGTCAGCAAAGACGGGCCGATCGTAGTTCATGATGAGTAGGATTCTTTCTTTAATACTGGAATTTAGACATTACTATAACATATCCAGGTTAGACCTGCTCAAATCCAGACACATGCTTTTCAATCCAGTCCTACAACTAGGTAGAAAATTATTACTGAGTAGTCAAATTTTTGGAAGCAACAGATTGTACTGAATCTTCACTCCAGTGCATTGCTCCATCCCACACTAACGCAGGGAACAGGAAGGAGCCTCCAGAAGAACCAGGACCCGTCCTGCTGTGGTCACACTCTTTAGCTTTGATTACGACACACACTCCCTGAGGCGTTTTCGATCCGCTTGTTGTTGTTGTTGTTGTCCATAACCAACATGTCTTTTTGTTGTTACAATTTTCAAAAATATTTATTTTCATGCAGAAAATCAGAGAAGATTAAGTGATTAAATGTGGATGTTGGTCCTGTTCTGGCAAAAGAAAATAAAACCCATGAACAAGTGAAATATACATTATCTTTGAATAATAAAGATAATTAAGACACTTTAGAATAATAATTTTAGAACATTACATCACTGTTCAATAACACAGATTATATCACAATTAATAAACAATATAATGCATTTTTATAAAAACAGATAACTGTAGAATATTTTTGAAAAGTTATTTAACAATAGATACTATTTATGATCAAACATAGATTATTAGAAAACTTTATATTTGAGCTTCTGCCCCATTATCATCTTCCTCCTGTTCATCATCATCACTGATGGCGAGATTGGTAGGCCCAATAACTGTCCTCCTCCATTTTCCAGAGAAATCTTAAATTGAACCTGCAAAATATATTTAATATCATAATTGTTATTATTACTGTGACCGTGAATATTAAGATTGTGTCTAGAAAACAACAGATTTTACTTTAACCCTTTGATGCATGAATTATGAAATCTTCAACTGTGATTTTAAAACAATTTTTTTCATTCATCTTTAGGTGTGATTGAAACAAATTTCATATTTATATATTTTTTGTAACATTTAATTTACACATAATTATGTCAGTGGACAGCGTGCATTCTGAACATGAAATATGTTGGCTTGACTTACTGAAGTCCAAATGGAGGGGCTCAAATGCAATAAAGTCTTCAACAGCTGTGCTTAATAGCAAAAACAAATAAATAACAATTTTGAGTACCTGTTTACTGTAGTGACCATTATGCATCAAAGGGTTAAATATTCATCATTTCTTTTCCTTGTTCAGGCGTTTGATCGAATATGAAAGATTTCACCAACTTTATTGAGTTTAACATTTACAACACATGCGTCCTTATTTAGCACAACTAGTCTACATTGTGATGTGAGAGTTTCATCAACCTAGCATTGTTTGTTTTAGAGCTCTGACCGTAAACACGGGAGGAGGCCAAAGAGTTTTCTGGCTCTGCAGACGCACCCATGTTTGGCGTGTTATAGCCCCGCACTGATTGGTGGAATTCTGCATCACTTTAGGTCAGGATGTTTCTAATTTTATTAAATCTGTTCAGATTGAAGAAGGCACGTTTCCTATGACAGATCCTGGTCCAGAGTCACTCTGAGGTTCCTTGTGTTTGTGGATCTGATCCTTCTTTCTGAAGCTCTATCTTTTATCTCGCCAGTGTGGGCGGGGCTGCAGCAGGAACATTCTGTGTCCTATCCTCTCTGAGGCAACAGCTGGAATCTGAAGGGTCAGTTGACGTATTCCAACTGGCCAGGCTGACGAACCTCATGAGACCAGGAGTCTTCAGTGACATGGTAAGTCTTTTGTCTGTCTCACAATAAGCTTACAGAGACCTGCTGGTCGTTACACACTCGGGTGGTTTACACAGTTTATTCCCAAAGCATGATTACGGTTGTAATGTTGATACTTCACATGTTTGTTCTGTGTAATCAGATTATTGTGTTCAGGTTAATATCTGAGGTATTAGGAAGGAGCCGCCATGAACACATTTGGCAGTTTGACCACATTAATATGCAAATTTATGCAGCAAAGCAAATTAAACTCCAGTTAAATCATGTAATCCATATGGGATAGACATGCTGTATGTGCTGGGATGACTCGTCCTCCTAACATGAATGTGTCATCAGCCAGCATCGTGTCAGCCAGGCGCCGGCAGATTTCACAAAGGCTTCAGAATTGACTTAAAAGGAGAAGAATTGCTCTGAAACATTCACAACGTTAAACATGTTTCAGGTTTACACATGAACAGAGAAACAACCTGAGTCTGAACGCAGCGTGACCCACAGACCGCCGTCAAACGGCATCACTCGTTTTCTTGCTTTGATATTCTGAAGGAACATCCCAACACTGGAGAACTGGTGCCAGACCTTCTCTGGATTAGGCCGGGTCAGGTCTTATGTAAATCCCAGACTGTGGGTCAGGTTGCCAGGGAGATGGCTCCTGATGACACTGGTGGTTTGCAACCAAAGCTCAGATGCTTCTGAGATGTTAGGTTATGTGATGCTGCACTTTCTCTACAGAGCTTTAAGCTTCCGTCTGCATTGAACCTTTTGCTCATTTTGCATCACTTAGCTGGGCTGAGGTGGTATTCTGGAGCAGAATGCATGTTGAACCCAACACACTCCTTCCTCATAGGCTTACGTCGTAAACTAGAGGCTTTCTGAAGACATTTAGAAGGGATCCAAAGCAGAAAACTAAGATTAAAATAAATGTTATAGCTGCTGCCAGAGGACTATTTGTGTCACTATGGTAACCACCTTTAGCTCTTATGAGCTAAGTCAAGCTGGGAATTTGATACCATTCCAGCACAAACTAGAAAGCAACTGCTGATTCTCCGTTCAAGTGGAGCCACCTGAAAATGTCCCGGAGCTCCCGATGGCCAGTCTACCACTGGTGACAACGCTTCTGTGTCTCTCGCTCCATGACAGGAAAACACAATGACAGGAAAGGACTTTTAAGAAGTCATCCTCAGACAAACAGCTTCCTTGTTTCTGTGATGTTGTATGTAGGAGACATGTATGGGATTAGATTTGTGCCAATAGGATCAAGAAAAACACTTTGGAGAGCAAACAAATTTTAAGACACTGAGAGAAAAAACCTTGGTTTCAAAAGAAAAACTTACGATCTGAATCAGATTCTTAAAATGATCAAGAAAATCACTGTGACGGTCAAACAAAAATTAAGAAATTGACAGAACAAAAATATTGACTAAAGGAAAAAAGCATGTTTCAAAAGTAAAACTTACTACCTGAATAAACTTCTTAAAATGAGTAACAAAGTATGTTTCCTTTTTCTGTTTGCCTCTATGTGTTTTTGTTATCAATTTCCTTAGTTTTGTTCTCTCTGCTCAGAGCTTTGCTCTCACTTCCAGATTTGCACTTACACTGTCTGGCTTTCTCCTTTGCAATCCCTGAGTTTTTGGTTGCAATTCTGACACAACCCTTTCGGGTGGGCGGGACTTCTGAGAAGTCCTCTCCCATAGGACAGTGGTTTCTCTTGAGTGACAGTTCAGTGACCTGGAAGTGATGTAGCCTCCAAGACATTTTTTTCCCACCTGGTCAACAACATGAATTTTGAGCCCCAAACAGGTTATTTCTGCTGTCTGTGGTGTCTACTGAGGATCTAAAGTGAGTATTGATAATATATTTTATCTTTTCTTAGTTCATCTGTAAGTTAAGCCACTTTTTAAGTTGGTTTTAACCAGATGCTAGCTCACTAGCTAGCTGCTAAGCAAGCCATTGTGCTAGCCTCAGGACAATGGACTATTGTTCCAGAGAGACGTATTAAAAACTCATCTTAACATATTCATTACTGGGTTCATGGAATTAATTATTGCAGTTTATGTTAATAAGTTTGCTAATTTTTCAGGAACCTGTGGAACATTAGAGACTTTGCAGCTACTGGAGCTAACCTGTGTACTGCTAACTTGCTACAGAGGAAGCAGCAGAAAGCTGAGCTAACAGGCTGTTTTGCAGGTAAATACTCTTTTAGTGGAACTGCAGAATTTTTATGGTATAACTCAGACAGAATCTACATGAGCTATTGTGGGAAGACATTTAAACTACATTTACATACAGATACATGTATTTTTTTATTCCATGTTACTTGGACGGGCTAAACAAGTTCATAGTTCTGCCTGCTCCTTTTTCAGTGAAACGAATGGATTTTATGATGTAACTCTGACTGAATAATTATCTAAGTGAGTATGTTTGATAATACATTTCTTTCCAATATACAGATCTGACATTTGTTTGTCAGAACAAGACAAATCAGATTCAATGTGCTTTCTGTCACGTGCTCTGTATTCTCCATGAAAAGAATGTTATCCAGGACAGATAATCAATAATGAGTTAAATACATGCTTTAAATTAATTTTTACATAAAATCTATATTTTTGTCTAAAAGCTATTATTTATGTATTTATTCTTTCTTTTCAGATTGAAAACTGCTGCATTGCATTACAATGGAAGTGCTACACAGCCACATGCATCAACTGCAGCTGGTGAGCTAAGACACACCATAGTGTACACAAAGTGCACTGCAGACAAGGGATGTAAGAAAATATCAATATGACAATATATCGCGATGTATTTTCCCAGTAATATTGTATCGATATTCTCGAACTCTGTCTCTAAAATATCGATATGGCAATATATCGTGATATTTTTTCCTGAGATATTACATCCATTTTCAAAAGCAGTGTATCTAATTTTTGGAAGAATTTACATGCAAACATTTGTGTATTTTCTTTGTTTTTGGTGCATTTTAAATGTGGCCCGCTAGTTGGCAGCAGTGTGCACTGGGTTTTGTTTCCACCATTGAAATTTAAATCTCGCTATTATGGTTCAGAAACTCATGTTATATATGTTAAGTATCAGTTTGGACTGTTTATTGAATATTCCAACAATAAATTCTGTCAAAAATACACATCCCTACTGCAGACCAATCCCACCTCATGTAGTTCATATGCTGTATAATAAGCCCACAGTGATGGTTATGGATAAATATCTGTACTAATGGTAATCTTTTTCCATTGTTTCCAGTTGACAAGCATATGGACCTATTGTTCGAGTCCGTGGTGGTGGATGCTCTACCATATCAGGAGTCTGACTAAGTACCTGTGCCTGAACCTCTCTGTGTCTAGTTCAAAAGACCTGAAAGACCTGCTGTAAGCAGGCACAGGATAAGATTTTAAAAGAACCTGTAAGGTGAGCAACACAACACAATATAAATCTTTATTATTATTGTACGCTGTACAGCTAGAATAAACTTGCATGCTCAGAAGCCACGTATGATTACATCGCCTACAGGTTGCCTGATGCTGAACTTCGGGCAGCTGCGTGCTCAGTGGAACAACCGCCTGTGGGAGGAGTCGTTGTGTTGCTGTTAGGAGTTTGGGTCGGAGTCCTGGGTTTGTGTTCCCTTTAATCTCTTCATTAGCCTTGCTAGTCACCATTGCAGAGCACCATGGAGAGGCTTACCTGAAAACTCTTCTCATGGGGCAGGCACATCCTCACACACCTGTAACCCCATCCTTGAATAAAAGCTGGTAGCTGGTCACTCATCAGTGTTTTAACCCATATCTAGCCCATGACTCTGCCGTTTTTCAAACTTACGTTCTCATGTTCTATGCAGATCTATGGGAATTCTTTCCTTGAAGCTCCTGATCACACAACCATACTGGCAGTCGGCTTACCCACTACCTTCTGCTCACCCGCTTGCTACTCATGCTGTCATTCTCCCAGACTTCTGGTTGTTTCTCCACCATTCTGCTGTCTCCCGTCTGCGCTACAATTTCAGACCGTAAGTACCTAAACTTTTCCTTTTGTAAGTCATTCTTTAGTCATTACTAACACTCAATTTTACCTCAGGGCCTTCTGATCTTTAAACACTAAAACCTGTGGCTCCATCTCTGTGGTGTTTCTCAGACTCTGTAAGCTACCTGCACAGTCTAAGAAAACCCTGACCTGTTGCCTCTTACTAACCTCTGCTCTTCCTCGCAGAAGCTCCTGGTTCCTGATCTCCAGCAGTTACCTCTTCAGTCATCCGTCAAACATTTTAATAAACTGTTTTTAGCTCATTTGTCTCCTGAGTTTCTCTGCATGAAGGTCAGTTTGTTGCAAAAATCATGACATCAGCAGTTACTTTGCACCACTCTGTTAAACAGCTGATATTAATTTCAAGTGTATCTTTAAAAATACATTGAATGTCAAAGTGAATGAAAGGCATCCATTCAGCTTTCGGTGTCTAATGCAGGATTTTACGGACAGGCACCAAAACAGGAAATTTATAAATTGAGATTGATTTACTAAATCAGGTAAACCGTAATAAAACACTAATGTTTAAAGTCCGGAGGAGGGAGGAAGGCTTTATAGCAGGGGTATTCAATTCTAGTCCTGGATGGCTGGTATCCAGCACGTTTTAGTTGTTTCCCTGCTCCAACACACTTGAATCAGTGGTTGAATTACCTGTGCAGCAGCTCTGCAGAAGCCTGTTAATTATCTGCTGACTGAAATCAGGTGTATTGAAACAGAGTTAAAACTAAAACGTGCTGGATACCGGCCCTCCAGGCCCAGAAGTAAATACTCCTGCTTTATAGGCACAGAGAACTCCCATCAGGATCCTGGAGACGGCACAAGGAGATGACGACATGAGTGTGCCCTCCCAGATCACACCAACACCACCTGACCACATGGAGGCATGTGTCTGTAAGAAAGAAAAACTGGTGATGTAAGAGATTAAACAAAAACTACGAACAAAATCAATTTTACAGTTGTTTAACCTGCTGAGCATCGTCTCCCCAAAGAGCTGCACAAAGGTGCAACTGGCTCAGAACCAGGGTGCTCCGTTGTGCAGGTAGTCACCTCCTCCTGCTGACTCCTGAGGATTACCTACAACAAAGGGAAAACTGATATCAATAAGGAAATAATTAAATCAGAGCTAAAAGTTTAATTTTAGTGTGACGTTTGAGATTGTGGGAAATAAATGTGGACATTATGATTTTCTATTGTGGGGTCAGTACCTTGGGCGTTTCTCTGTAGCAACATTTTGTCTGGCTGACAATGAAGTAAAAAAGTCACCAGTTGAGGCAGAGTTAGACTACATTACTCCAGCTAAGCTAAATGTAGCTAAAATAGACACTAGTCACCAGACTATGGTTACTATAGATTTACTAGAGAGTTACATCATATAATCCATTCGTTTCACTGAAAAAGGAGCAGGCAGAACTATGAACTTGTTTAGCCCGTCCAAGTAACATGGAATAAAAAAATACATGTATCTGTATGTAAATGTAGTTTAAATGTCTTCCCACAATAGCTCATGTAGATTCTGTCTGAGTTATACCATAAAAATCCTGCAGTTCCACTAAAAGAGTATTTACCTGCAAAACAGCCTGTTAGCTCAGCTTTCTGCTGCTTCCTCTGTAGCAAGTTAGCAGTACACAGGTTAGCTCCAGTAGCTGCAAAGTCTCTGATGTTCCACAGGTTCCTGAAAAATTAGCAAACTTATTAACATAAACTGCAATAATTAATTCCATGAAACCAGTAATGAATATGTTAAGATGAGTTTTTAATACGTCTCTCTGGAACAATAGTCCATTGTCCTGAGGCTAGCACAATGGCTTGCTTAGCAGCCAGCTAGTGAGCTAGCATCTGGTTAAAACCACTTAAAAAGTGGCTTAACTTACAGATGAACTAAGAAAAGATAAAATATATTATCAATACTCACTTTAGATCCTCAGTAGACACCACAGACAGCAGAAATAACCTGTTTGGGGCTCAAAATTCATGTTGTTGACCAGGTGGGAAAAAAATGTCTTGGAGGCTACATCACTTCCAGGTCACTGAACTGTCACTCAAGAGAAACCACTGTCCTATGGGAGAGGACTTCTCAGAAGTCCCGCCCACCCGAAAGGGTTGTGTCAGAATTGCAACCAAAAACTCAGGGATTGCAAAGGAGAAAGCCAGACAGTGTAAGTGCAAATCTGGTAGTGAGAGCAAAGCTCTGAGCAGCGAGAACAAAACTAAGGAAATTGATAACAAAAACACATAGAGGCAAACAGAAAAAGGAAACATACTTTGTTACTCATTTTAAGAAGTTGATTCAGATAGTAAGTTTTACTTTTGAAATATGTTTTTTTCCTTTAGTCAATATTTTTGTTCTGTCAATTTCTTAATTTTTGTTTGACCGTCAAAGTGTTTTTCTTGATCATTTTAAGAATCTGATTCAGATCGTAAGTTTTTCTTTTGAAACCAATGTTTTTTCTCTCAATGTCTTAAAATTTGTTTGCTCTCCAAAGTGTTTTTCTTGATCCTATTGGCACAAATCTAATCCCATAGACATGCCAAGCTACACTGGCAAATCTGCACAAGCAAGCTTAAAACATTTGTTTGCATGCCTCTTGACGTTCCACCACAGTATAGCTATAGATAAATAGCAGGATTAAAAAAAGCTAAACAAAAAACTAAACTGGCATTGGTCTAAATACCTTAGCCAATAACACGGCTCGGTCTGAAACCAATGATTGGACCATGTGGTCGTCTGTCCCACCAATCCAAGCACTGCGTTTACCTGGGTCCTCCTCTCAAAACCTGCTCACACATTTTGCAACAGAAGGAGAAACAGCCGGCTGCTACCACTTCAACTTTAGGACTAACTACGAGTCCCAAAGAGAAACACACAACAAGAAAACGGTGACTGGTGTTTAGTACTATCTCGTTTTCTCTAGTGATGCAATTTCCCGTGTCAGAGGGTGTGGCCTGGGATGACTGCTGATGGGAGGGGTGTGTTCTGTGACCGTGTTTGTGTCTGAAAGCTAACTTGTTTTGCAGATTTGCTATTGCAGCTTTAAAACCATCCTTCGATGTGTTTTCTTGAGAGTATTTTGAACTGAAATATAACAGAGGCTAATGGAAGCATAGAGGGTGTGTTGTCTGCACACGGAGATCTGAGACCAGCAGCAGTGAGAGACACCACAGGGGAATGAAGACGAGAACATCTATCATTTTATGTTTAACCTGTGTTTGTGCTGAAAAGGTCCTACAAGTTTTGTTTGCAAAACAAATTAGATTCATAAAATAATTGGACAGTTTGACACTGAAAATACTGAACATCTAGTCTATTCTGTAATGATGTCACAACCAATCAAGTTCAGTCCAACTTTGTGTCCTGTTTCAACTTTAAAGGACATTTCTCCTGAGACGTCTACCTGAGCTCCAGGATGGGTTTCCTCACATAAAACACCAACAACTTATAGTTTGTGTGATTTTTTTGTGCTAATTTTGACATAAAAGCCCTGTAATGAATTTAATTTACATGTACTTTACTGATCCTGATTCAGACGTGATTGAAAAAGAAAAGATAACAGGATGGTGATAAGAGTTCTTCTATGATAACCAAGGAAACTGATGCTGTGTTGGCTCTAGCGGTGAACTGAAGCAGCCCAGGAGACTGAATCAGAACCTTTTCTCTTACCAGGAACATCTCCAGTTCCTGTACAAAGCCATGATGAGTCTTGTTGCATCACAAGAAGATGAGAAAACCCTCCAGTCATCCGACAACAATGGCACCATTGTGGTGGGTGCCACCAGCACCACGGAGAGCCTAGAGTCTCTGGTGTAACGTTCTCACATCAAAGGAACTTCTACGAAGGCTTTTTGTTCTTTCCCTTGAAGCGCCAGCAGGACTTGTGAGGCCTCCATCGGTGCTGCTCAGCAATAATTGTGTCTGTCGTGGACGCTGTAGTTTAAGACCGGCATGTTAGTTTGTGCTTGACTGACACCAGACTGCTCTATAGTTGGTTAACGTGTGCCTTTTCATACTCCATCCCATACGTCTAAGTCATGTGCTGTAGATGAACCATCTAACCATTCACCACTGTTCTGCCCGGACACATTTTATTGAACTCTCTCTAAAGATTTGTGTTTCCTGTCACTCGGCTAAAACGGAAACGCTGCAACCGTTTGCATCGATATGTATTTTAAAAGCGTTTCTGCACAAAGCTCCTCTGTAAATAAGGCAACACTAGCAGCATCTTCCTGATAAATGAAAAGGGCTTGGATTATTAAGATAGTAATCTAACGAGGATGTAGTAATAACGGTGATGGACCAAATTTCTATTTATACTTCTAAATTTTTATATTTGACTATTTTTAGTGTGTCTGGATTGTTTAAATCTAGTTGAATAGCTTGAGAATATTAATGCTTTTATACTCTGTTTTGTAACGGACTAAATGTGACGCACTGGCATTTGTTTGCTTTACTAACCGTTATTTATCTGGATGTGAAACACACTGCTGGATTATTATTCAGGGGATTAAATAAGTTGGAGAATTTAAAGGACAACCCTTTTGATGAATGCATATAGACAAACACTGATGCACACACGTGAAATGATTCTCAAGTCACACGACTAGAAGAGCTCTTGAACATTTGTCCTCTCTTTGCGTTAGTGGAGGCTCTGTCATGGGAGCCGCTCATTAGTCGGTCATTTACCTCAAAGAGCCGCTCAAAAGACTGGCTCCTTTGAACGATATTTTAGGTTTTGTGTGAAGATAAGTCCAGGACAAAAACTGCGATTCACGAAAGTGACGTCATCGAACCAGACAAAGATAAAACTGAGGGAAAATGGCTGTAAGTTCAGCAAACTTCAAATTCTTCCTTCAGAAGGAAAGAACCACCATAAATCTGGCCATGTGGTAAGTAGCAGCTACGCTAGAGGAGAGGAGATTCTGTGGTGACGTCACACATGCAACGTGCTGATGTAGTCATGCTAATTACACATGTTTACAAGCTAATAAATCTCTAAATACATGAGGGGCGTGGTCGAAACACCCATCATTAGTTTCATTTAAATTACAGTACAACATATGTGTGATCCCGGGTCTAAAGCTAAGCAGATGAGAAAATAGCGATTTTAGCCCCGTTGACTTGCATTCACTTTTTTCATTCTTCCGGGGACCTGTGAGCCGACCGGAAAGAGAGGAGACAGGATCCCTATTGTACCCATAGGTGAAAATCCAAGGGGAGACGGGCATAAAGTTGTCCTCCCCAAAAACTTGAGCATATTTAACATCGATATATAGTGTTGTCCAATGAAAGCAGAACACAACCAAAAAAATCAAACCCACAAAACAACCTGTTTTTATTCATTCAAAAATTATGACTCCCCCTCTACTAATCCTCAAATTGGCACAGTCCACAAGCTGCTCCGAACTGGAAGGATGTTGTTGCTCTGATGCTCCCAGAAGCATCATTTGGAATCCTAGGATCCCGCCTTTCTCGCCTCTGATTGGCTAGAAAGGCTCTACTATGATTGGCTATTTAATTTAACAGTTAATTTGGCTCTTTTAAGAGACCCGGTGTTCCGACTATCCGTGCTCCCCGTTGGAATGTGCTACTTTGGGGAAATGCGCAGGCCGATTATTGCGTCACAGGCTGTTTACAAGTCGAGACGCGCTACCTGTGGAAGTTTACGTTGAATCTCGTCACTTATCTAGTTCCTTTCAACTCGTCGAAAGTCGCAGTAACTATTTCTTTAAGTTGTTTCATTAAATTACTGCTTGCTGTACGTTTACCTGACAGTTAGCTTGTAAGTGGCTTCTAAAATATCGTTATTATACTGTAAACAAGACATTTCTCCCATTGTTTACAGCAGGAGTGGGGAAGCCTGGTCCATCGAGGGCCGCTATCCAGCATATTTTAGTTTCAACCCTGAATCATCACACCTGATTTCAATCAGCAGGTGATTAACGGGCTTCTGCAGAGCCTGATGAGCTGCAGAACAGGTGGGTCAACCGCTGAATCAGAAGTGTTGGAGCAAAGACGTGCAGGATACCGGCGCTCAAGGACCAGGGTTCCCCACTCCTGATTTACAGTCATTCTGAAAGAGTCCCAAATTAATATCCAAAAGTTTTATATTAAACATATAATAAATTTATCATAGTTGTATAATAATCTCCAAAATTATACATTCAAAAAAATAACTAAGTATAGAGCTCCGGACCCCACGTGACTCTCAGTTAGTAGACGCCATATTGGCAGGTAAAAGAATCTAAACAAACACGGATGTAATCGTGAACGGGATCGGCTTGGATTTTACTTCGTCGGAGTTTACTTCACTCTTTAAAACCGAAGAAATCGTTTTATATAGTCAGAAATTAAATAGACTAAACATCTCCGACCCCTACCGTGACCCTGGGATACTTTTTAAAAACGCCAGAAGCTGTCGGAGCGGACTTCTTACTGGACCTGGCCGGGGAACCCCTTGGGATTCCCCGGAGGAGCTGGCTAAACCAAGCTTTAGGCGGCTGGGGAGAGGGAAGTCTGGGCCTCTCGACATAGGCTACTGCCCCCGTAACCTGACTCCGGATACGCGGATGAAAATGGATGGACAAATAAAAGATTTACAAGTAAGTAGTTTAAACAGAGTGCTGTGCTGTTTGAATGTATAAACTGACCACCAAGAGAAATCACTAGTCTGATTGTTTTCCGTGAATAAAATAAATATGTCAGGCAGGAGCGTCTCAGGATCTGTCTTAGATCTGTCTCGGTGAGACAGAAAATAGCAATCCAAAGTGCTTTTTATGTGTGATCTGACAATTGATCAACCATTGCTTAAAAATTAAATACAGCTTAGCCGGTTAATTGCTGTGATCATAAAACACGTAAACGGCAGCACGCAGAAATCACGAGGCAACGTTTTACGTGACGTTTACTTGCTGCTGTGAGTAATAAGACAGAAAAGCCACGCCTAAATAAGTTTAGGAAGCCCACTAAGAATCGTAATAAAAGCATTTAAAATAAATACCATACACAGTTGAGGAAACGTTGGTTTAAGTACCTGATATGAAGTGGTCACTGCATAAGTGAAAACCTTTACTCTCGGGATCCCACAGTTTCATTTTAGCCCGGTCACTAGTGCGTTTTATTACAATGATCCAACGTTTGCGGCGCTCCGGATCTTGGGGAATCCTGTAGATGGCTCATTCCTTATGTCGTCCGCGTCTGTTCTGCATCCTGGGGCACAACAGGAATCTACCATATTTCCTGTCTGACTGAGTTTCTGACAATAACAAATAGTCCAGCTGCCGGCTTCTGCCTGCCAATATGGCGCCGTTTCAATTTGAACTGTTGCATGCTGGGAGAAGTGACGTCAACTCCCGGAGCTCTATAGGGGGGAAAGCATATGTGTTCTATGTGGATTAATTTGTCTAGTAAAGGATTAGGTAGAGAAATAGAACGGTAAGAGCTAACGTCTTTCAAATCTCCATTTTTATGAATCACTTTCTCGACATGGGTGAAAGTAGTTGGTGAATCGTCATTGCTCTGAGAATATTCAAATGTTGTTAGCAACTAAGGGGTTTATTTTTACGAAATGACTAAAGTGCTTCTTACACTATCCACTTTTTTCATAAAATAAATGAACAGTAGCTACCGATTTTCAGTAAGCCTGGACAGACTGAATCAGCTGTTGAAATGCACGTTGGTAGGAAAATTCAATTAGGAAGTACAGATAGTCGGAACACTCGTTCTTACGGCTTGGCTCACTAGAATGAAGCGGCGTGGCGGGGCCGTAAGCACATTGTGCCCAGGGGCGCCTGCAATGATAATCCAGCCCTGAGTATAATAGCCATATTTTAGAAGCCATTTACAAGCTAACTGTCAGGTAAACATACAGCAAGCAGTAATTTAATAAAACAACTTAAAGAAATACTTACTGTGACTTTCGACGAGTTGAAAGTAACTAGATAAGTGACGAGATTAAACGTAAACTTCCACAGGTAGCGCGTCTCGACTTGTAAACAGCCTGTGACGCAATAATCGGCCTGCGCATTTCCCCAAAGTAGCACATTTCAACGGGGAGCACGGATAGTCGGAACACCGGCTCTTTCAACTCAAGCGGCTCCTCACATTTTTGGTGTTTTAAATTCATTTACCAGAGAATTTTGCAAAATATGTGTGAAATTATTGACCAATCTACAAACTGACATTCAACCAACGTTTTATTATTTCAAAGGAGACTAGGGTGTGTGAAATGTCTCCCTAGCTGTCAGTAGCGTCTACAGAAGAGATTCATCACTAGACCAAACATCAGATGTGTTCATGATCTAAAGCATGCAGGAAGCAGACTGCGGCGCCAGGTATGTCAGCTAGCCAGCGGCCCGCCACACTGGAGTTGTAAGTGTGGTATTCTGGCTACAGAGGGCGGTGGGTCTGAGTGAGTTTTCATTAACCCTGTAAAGGATCTTTTTAGCACATACTGGCTGAAGAAGAGGATTTAAAAAAGTGAAAAGGTTGCATAGAATGCCTTTAAATAAGATAATCACACAGTAAAATCTGTAGAGCCTGCATGAATAGATATTTATTCTTTGCATAGTCCACACTCTTCCTTTGAATTGTAAATATTGGTCAAATATGTCCAAATCTGGTTGCATTTCCTGCTTTAACTCATGTCCTCACCTTTCTCACCCTCCTATTCCCTGCTCCTCCTCTTGCTCGCTGCAGACACATGGAGAAGCAAAGCAGAGGAGGTGGCCAATCTCAGGCGGCCTAAAAACAGAGAGAAAGGGAGAGAGAGCACTCCGACTCGGCTCCTCCGAGAAGGCGTTGGCTCTAAGAGCCATTTTGTTCACGAAGGACAAATAAGTAAAACTAGCTGTCCTCGCTAATGCGGACTGTCCTCCTGCCACCAGCAGAAAGCTGTTTGGGGAGTTTTGTAAAGAAAATGTGAACTTGACATAATAACCATTCTGTCCTGTTTAGCAGAATATTTTATTTTTAATGTTTCATAAAAAACTGAAAATGTTAAATATGAATTTATAATCTTGCTGCATTTGTCAAACTGTTGGACTTACTTTACATCCCTTGGCTCTCAAGCATTAGAGTACATAGGTGATCCTGGTGATCAATTGAAATTTCATGAATTACTGTCTCATTCTCTGCCAGCATCACTGATGCAAAGAAAGCTTTCTACACTGACAAAATCCTCAGCTCTACTGACTCTCAGAAACTATTTTCAACATTCAAAACTCTGCTCAACCCTCCGTCTCCACCTCCTGCCAACAATCTATCAGCTGACACCTTTGCCTCATTCTTCACCGACAAAGTGGCAGCTATAAGCAAACAGTTTACTCAACTGGCCACTCGTGAACATGCGCTGCCACAAACTCCTTCTAGCCCAACCATCTCAAGCCCTACTGCTTCATTTTCCTCTTTTTCCCCTCTCACTGAGAACTGTGTGTCCAAGCTTCTCACATGCAGCCGCTCTACTACATGCCCACTGGACCCCATTCCAACTAAGCTGCTCCAAGCTATTGCTCCTACAGTAGCCGCAGCAG